AACTCCTCAGAAACCACTTCCCAGAAACCACTCGCCAGAAACCACCCGCCAAAAACCCAAAAACCACTTCCCAGAAGCCACGCGCCAGAAACCACTTCCCAGAAACCAACCAGAAACCGCGTTCCAAAACGATCCGAAAACCCCAAAACGAGGCAGACGCCCGGGACCGAGGGAGCCCAACAACGGCTCAAGTCCTTTTAGAGGGAAGGTACACCTACGGTGTGTCGGTACACCGTTACTATTTGGTTATGGTTTGCACGTATTGTTTTAACCTGAACGCATCGCAGCACGCCTTGCCATGTGCGATCTTCGCGCGAATTGCAGTGTCTCTCACCGCACAGGGTCCTCAGCCTGTTTCTCCCAATTAGCTTTGCGTTGCTTCTCTGCTTTCTCCTTGCCAAGGTTAAGCCGGTTAAGCTCAAAAGTCCCGGAAAAAGAAGTGCTGGAGGCGGCGCTCCTCTGCTTCCTCCTCTCTCTGTCGGCGGATGAATTTGGCAGTCCATGCTGCCTCCTTCAGCATCAGCTCCTGCTAGCTCCATTGCGCAGCATTTTCCAAGCACTTGGTCTACCAGTATTGTGTTTTGTCTGCTAAGCTGGACTGAACTGACAGTAAATGGGGCATGTAACGTAATGAAGAAAAACACCAGGCCCTTTCAAGTAGTCACAAGAATGGCAGCCCACCTGAATGCATCCATGTCTCGGATACACAAAGTCACCCATCTCCAATCAGCCTTGGGAAAGGCCAAGTGCGTTCAGATTTGACCCCCTGCGGTCTGGCCATTCTTTCCGCCACGTTGCTTTACAGCGTTGAAAAAGGGAACGGCTTAAAGCGAAAGACTGGACTGGAGCCGAATGCCGCAACCGTCACACGCATTCAGTCAACTGTCCAAGTCTCAACAACAAGAAACCTTTGTATAAACGAACACCTGCGTTCATCCCCTGCCTCCAACAGCAGCAGGTCGAGAGGTCAACTGGTGTTTCTTTTTCACCCCTCTGTCATTCTTGCTCAAACCCCTTGACTTTCCTCACAGGTGAAACACGCCGCCCATATTCAGGCCGTTCAGGCTGTAATGAACAGTCCTTTTAGGACAAAAACTGAGCCCACACCAAGTCCAACCAGCCCCAACGCCATGGGCAGCAATTGACTTCTTCCGCCTGTCGGGGCGGCCGCAATTCTGCCAAGGGTCGGTACACATACTATACGTTTGTCTAAATAAACATAGGTCGGTATATTATATATATACTTGACACATATACTCCGGGGGAAACAACATAGACCAGAACTCAACTTCAAGTGCGACTTAACATGGACCACTGGTAACGGTGACTTCTTTGGGGGAACGGTATTCGTGTTTTGGCCATTTCCGGACACTCACTAACATGGACCACTTCCACTCTCAGTCTATGATCGCTTCTGACACTAACATGGACCAACTGCAATCTGATAATCTGACTATAAACTGAACGCGGGCTAACATAAACCGCGCCGGTAGAGGTCAACATAGACCAGTGGAGGCTAACATAGACCATGCCGAATGCCGGTAGGGCCTATCTGAACTTGGTCTAGGTTAGTCTCAATCAAGGTACTTTTAGGTGCGAAACCCGACAACCAACTTAGACCATGCCAAACACGCGTAGGGCCTATCTGAATTGGTCTGGCTAGTCTCAATCAAGGTACTGCAGGTGCGACCCTACCTACTCTCAGTCCATGGTCCAACCTGACACAAAGTTTTCCAGATATCGAGTGAGGCGTGTGGCTAACATAGACCACTTCTACTCTCAGCCCATGGTCCACACTGACACAAACTTTCCACAAGCCTGACTCAGGCTTGTGGATAACATGGACCATTCCCACTCTCAGTCCATGATCGATTCTAACACTAACATGGACCAACTGCAATCTGATAATCTGACTATAAACTGAACGCGGGCTAGAATAGACCGCGCCGGTAGGGGTCAACATAGCCCGGTGGAGGCTAACATAGCCATGCCAAATACCGGTAGCCACTGTTGGTTCTCTTTCCTTTTCACTTACCGCTATGAGCAGTTCCTTGGTCTCGCTCATTAGAACAGGATACTTTCAATTCTTTAGTCTATCTTACCTATCCAAAAATACAGGGAGGTTTTAAGTTTTTGGTCTTGCGTACCTACTTTAGAGCGATTCGTTTAGAGTATCTCGCTCGCAGTTTGGAACTTCATCGGACTCATCGGACAGAATCTGAGGCCTTTTTAACTGACATAGTCAATAGGTAGCTGAGCTATCTGAGCTGGTGCATCTTTCGAAGTATTTGGATCTGCCTCACGTGGTTTACTCAGGCCACTTTTTCCCCCCGAGGTTTCTTCAAGGCATTTGGCGGCCTTCAGATGAACTCTTATATATCCCAAGTGTGTGTGTGTGTGTATTTGCTATGGGTCGACTGGCAAAGTCAAGCGTGCGCATGTTCCCGTGTTTTCCCATCTGGTCCTGTCTGAAGGTTGCACAGTGGAGGCGGCCGATACCTTGGCAAAACTGTAGGAGGCACGGTGCCAAAAGGTGCGCAAACAAGACAAAACTACCCGAGGAGTGTGGAAAATGAAGAAAAGGGCACTACCATGCACAACCCTCAAAACCCTATGTTTTTGCCAAATGCCCGTCACTGGACCTCTCTTCGTCTGCGGTCGGTTGCAATCAATTCAAGTGATGGATACATGACTGATGAGATTGACATGATGCTTGCAATCGATTTCTGAAAGAAGCATGCACGAATAGATGTGTCCAGTTAGCAGTGAGGCAACTAGGCTTGTTTGGCGGTGGTCTGAGCCCATGGTGCGAAAGCCCGCTAACCATGTCAGTTGCATCGCCGCATGAAATTATTCAAGGTCCCAGCGCTCTTTTCAGTCCTGCTGGGTTGTGCTCTATCGGTAGTGGCTTTTTGCCACATCAAAAGCTGGCCACCTTTCCCAACAATCCTCAACCTTCATCACCACAAACGGGGCCAGGCACTCTCCGGAATGAAGGCGTGCTTTAGCCCGATGGCTTTGAGCAGGATTTCATTGAAGTGCATGCAGAGGTGACTAACACGGCTCTGACTCTCTTGGGTCATCTTCTGGGTATAGGAGGCGAAAACACTCTCCTGCAGGTACACCTCCTTCCGACGAACATACTCTGCGTCCTTGGTTTTCTGCAGCCAGAACGTGGCGCCTCCTGGGCGGAGGCTCGACAAAGAGTAAGGCAGGTTTCCCTGCCCCTTTCCTCCATCCAAGCCAAGCGCTGACTGCAATGCAGCAAACCTTTTCCGCAAAGCCGAAGGTGAGCGGTTCCACAAGGGCTCCGAGGGCAACAGGCGTGCAAAACTGCATCAACCAGCGCCACAATGTCTTGTGGATCGATTCTCGACGACTGATGTCGAGCTGCTCTCCCTCTTGTCTTCGGGAGGCGAATCTTGAGGAGTGCATAGTAGAGCACTCCAGGTGCAGCGTCTCGTGGGAGGATCAGATCCTTCCTCTTCGCAGCAAAAAGTTCGCCTATACGAAGAACCCCTGTCCAACCCATGGCCAGCAAAGCAGCCTCGCGACTCCAACCCCACAACAATGCTAAACCGACTGTGGCCAACACTCAGTATTGAATGGGGTAGGGCAGTGTTGCGCTCATCAACAACAGTTGAATGCGAGGTCCCAACATGCAGCAACCTGCTTGCGTAAGGCCGGCCTCCTGGCCGTCACAGCGTTGATCGTCTCGGAGAACCGGCCATAGGACTTCCTGCAGTGTAGAGCTCCTTGCCATATGCCACAAGGGCATCGGAAATGGCCTCAGCGTCGAGCGAACGGGGCTCTGGCAACGCTTCTAGTGTAGTCCTCCGGTTCTCTGCTAGCCAGCAGTCAAAGGCGGCCGGCTGTTTCGGGCGCTCTGCAAGATCACCCTATCTGCCTGCAAAACGTTCCCAGCACGTCTCTCAGCCCTTTGGGACTCATCCTTGTTGCTTGGTTGGAGCGGCATGGCATCCGCGGAATGCAGTACGCCCCAAATGGCTACGACATGGTACTGCGGACCAGCCCTAAAACCGTTAAGGGGGTACCAAGGAGATCTCCGACACCCAGCCCACTCAAAAGTCCAAGTAGCAGAGAAGTCATGGGAAAGTCCAGACCTGGAATGGGGCAGTTGGTTGCGACAGAGAATGGTAAGGGCCAAAATCCAGGCCAAAGCATAAGTCCACGAATTGAAGAGTGCTGATTGGGGAGGGCGATCGAAAGAGCTGGCAGCAACACCAGGGCAAAGGCATAGGACAACCAAAAGATAGAGCCGAATCCAATTGGCTGAAGCCCTTGAGAACTGATGAGCATGCAAGGTAGCGATCTCCCTTGGAGAAATGCTCTCCAAGATGTTGATGTGACCGGGCTTGCTCCAGGCCCAGTCAGCTACTGTTGACCATCCTCCTTGCAAGAGTAGGTCATTCAGAACAACACTTTCCAGAGCAGTGGCAGGAGGCTCATGTAATAGCCCTTCTTTCTTCAAAGCATCAGCGAAGCATTCGGCAATGCATTCTGCAACTCCTGGGTGGTATACTGCCGATCCTCACATGTTGATGACCTCCAGGGCAAGGCACCATAAGCCTCCTCATCTCAATGCCCCATCCGAGGAGCCGGAAGGGCTTCTTGTGTGGGCTCCCAAAAGCACAAGAGTTCAGCACCGCCTCAGAAAAACCGATCTCAATGAGATAGCTCCACATTGACAGCCAGGCCATCTTTGACAGATGAGGCGTCTCAAGCGTGGAAGGAGTTCCACAGCGCCAAGCGAACCACTGTATGGCAAAGCTTCTGAAGGCAAGAAGGTTTCCCAGGAAGGTCTACGGTTCCTTCCTGTCATAGCCCAATGGCATGGCATAGGATCTAGAAGCTGGACGCTGAGCAGGCGAAAAGGTAGCGCACGGTGGTTCACAAATGAGGCTCTTGAATCTTTTCTCAAAGATCATCTGGAAGATCCAATCGAGAAGCTTGCGGTTGCCAATATCATGATGAAGGCTCCTGGAAAGGTCAATGGGCGGACATGTGGAGAGCCCCAGGTCCGCCGCAGCCTTAGACCAAAGATCTCGACAAAGTCGAACTCAAAGGGAATCATCTTCTGCGGAGAGGCCAAGAGGTCAGCCTGAAGTGGCACTTCACCGATGCTTCTCAGCATAGAGCGGGCTGGAGCATCCAGCATAGTGTAGGCCCCCTTCTTATCACCTCCGAGCCAAAGGTCTCCGCCAGCTCACTGCTGACATGCTTGCAAGTGATGGCCCTCTTTGTATTTGAAGCATCGGTGGCATAGATCTCCTCACAGTAGGGTACTGAGACATCTGTAGCTGCAGCGATGCACATGACACTGGCCAGCACTAGCTCCTTTGCAGCACTCCTGGTCAGCTTGATCACTTCATCTGCCCGTGCCTCTGTCTTGTTGCCCAGAGTGAACAGCTTCGACAGCGTACAGCAAAGGCAGCGTCTGAACATCAGGATCGATACCCAATTCCGTGCTAGTCGAGAGGCCAGAGTTCTTGATACGCCTGCAGCCCGCAACGAGAGAGCGATCATAGGGATCCTCTTGGACAATGGAGCCGCTACAGAAACAATCCCGGAGTTGCGAACATGCTCATCAGCTAGGACCTCTGCACCAATGACTTTGAAGCTCTCAGCTCCTTTGACCGCCTTGTCATCCGAGCCAATGACTCCCTCCCTCTTGTAGACGCACTCGGCCTGAGTGAGGTTGCGAACAGATTTTGCCTCTAGAACAGGTGTACTCACCCTTTCACGGCTGATGGCGAAGTAGTCGTCGATGACAAGTCCCTGCCAAGAGGGTTTTCTTGGAAAAGTGTGGTGGCCAAGGATGGTCTCTGAGTCAACGGGCAGGCCTCCTCGCTTCAGAAGATTGGTGTGACTCTCCAAAGCAAACTCAACGCCAAGATGGTCTCCCTGAAAGAGGCTCTTGAAGCCGCATGCAACTGAGGTGGCATCTTTCTCCTTGAGGGGCTTGGTTGGAGGCATGCCACAGCGATCTTCGTGGGTTTCGCGGGAGACTTTCCCTGCACAGCTAGCAAGCATCTCGTCCCAGGCAGTGAGATCTCTCACTCTAGCCGCGTCAAAGGAGAAAGGAAGCACATTGTGGTCAGAGCACGTTCACGGGCGACTGCTGCTTGGTGGTAGAAGTCCTTTCTGTCAGCGGCACATCCAACAAGCTTGCGGCGAGCTGTCCAGAGGGCAAATTTGCTGAAGGCCCCTTTGGATGACACTCTGATGCATTGAACCACCGACGGTCTCCAATCTGTCTGTCAACTTCGGGATTTTTGTGGGCATTGAAAACCCTGCAACCGGAAGGATGTCCAGCTGGAAACATGGCAAGAAGTCCTTTGCTATCCCACAATCTTGCAAGCTTCAAGTTCTCCTCAAGGTCTTCATGGGAGAAAATAGGGCCATCGGTTCCAAGAGGTAGCCCACGCAGTAAAATACTTGGATCTTGGAAAGGGAGCCACAGACAACTGTCAATGTACTCCTGCGTATTCCAGTTGCCCTGTCCAGAGAGCTTCAGCCTGTCTGCATCGAGCGACCTATAGGGATGGAGCGGAGAAAAGGCGGCCTCTGTATTGAACCTGTGCTCGCTCAGCTGGGTCCTCCTCTCGAGTGTGGTCACCATAGCCGAGCTCAAAAGCGGGGTTGGAGTAGGCGAACTTCTCCAACTCAACAAGCTTTGCAATGAATTCAAAACCTGATCTTCCCGGTGGCAGAGGGTAGCTGCTACCTGAATGGTCACACGCAGTGATTAGTGCCCGCGGCCTCCGAAAGACGGATTGCTGAGCCAGAGAGGTGGGAACCCATTGTGGATGTAGTTAACGGCCATGACCAGGACATGAAGCGCCCGTTGGTGGCATAGCTTTTTCCACTTGACCTTGGAGAGCTTGAGGTCACTCTGCCAGCCAAAAAGGCCCTCATGCGGGATGGGCAGAGGAAACACTGCGGTAGCTGGGCCAAAGCCCGAGCGACGGACATGAAAAGTTCTGGCAAGAAAGGCCGCGAATGCGGTCCTGGAACGTAGCACTCAACGGATGAGGCAAGCAAGGAGACCATCGCGGCAGTGAAGTTCTCCTCATCTGAACAGGGAGCATCTACTCTTCTTCTTGGACTTGGGTGGCGGGATTGGCTTTGGCCTTCGGGCCTCCGCGCCCTTTTCCCTTTTCTTTGAGCCTGGAGCATTTGGTGGTGCATCGGATGTGGTCTGCTTTGCAGTGGTGGCCTCCGCTCTTCGGTTTGAGATCACATCCATCTCTTTCAAATACTGCAGGGCCGTCATCACCCACCTCGGAGCGAAAGGCTTCGGGTTTGCCGCGACAGCCAGCGATCTCCCACTGAATAGACTGTGGGGAGGATCTTCCACCAAGGCCAGGAGGAGGCCGATATCCATCTTGCCGTTGTCCATTGCCGTCTGTTCCAAGCAAACGAGAAGGAGACTCATCGCATCGTTTGCGGCTAGGTAGTTCTCCTCCTGCATTGGTTGAGAGCCAATGCAACCTGCCAAATGATGAAGCCGATGTCCTTGGTCCTCCCGAAGCCTCCAAACCTCTCCAGGTATTGAGTGGGCGTGACTCCACGATGCCTCAAAACCGACACCTCCACCTCCGCTGAGCAGGGTACATCCTCCTGGACATACTTTGCAGGACATTGATGAAGAAAGTGCCTTTGTGCGCAGCCAACTCGGCCTGCAGCCCATAGATCCCTTGCTGGATAGGGTGGATATCGTGGAAGGGGTCATCTCTGATACCAAGCTCTTCAAAAACGAGGGATCTTGATCCAGCTATAGGCAAGCTGCCAAAGGCTTTCTCACTGCTGACGCTCTGTCGACGGCCTGGGCTGTGGTTGCCTCCATAGCTGATGTCCTCTGCGAGAGATCCTGCACTTGATTGACCAATGCAGGGAGGGTCTGACTGAGTTCCTCCAGCGTCTGTGCCAGAGCCGGTATTGTAGGCCTCTTGTTTTGGCCCCCTGTTGCGGAGGTCTCTCTCCTCCTTTTCCACCACCACGAGGAGCTGTGGCTCTCCTTCGAGGAGTTGAACGAGTACCTGAGCCTGGATGGTCCACAGGAGAACTGAGCCTCTCCTCTCCTGGAATAGGTGTCATAGGCACTTCGTCTGCTGAAGAAAAATGAATCCTCTCGCCAACAGCCTCCAAATCTCCTCTGGCCCAAGCTAGAGCTTTTGCAACCAAAGACGGGATCAAAAGCGGCTCCCTGTAGTCGAAGGCCAGAAGCTCCATCACCTCTGAGGCATCCTCCATGCCCCTCATACACTGAAATACCTCTGTACTGAAGTCCACCAGCTCGGCAGGGATGGAACGGTCCCGGACAGGTGGAGGTTCCTGCAACAAAGAAGCTTCGTTCAACATTGCAGCACCAAACTCTGCTTTCAAATGGGGCCCAACCAAGGCAGTGGAATCTGCCGCGTCTCCTCTCGCCAGGACTTCTCCTGGCATGGCTAACTCCGGCAAGGCCAGCAAGGCACCATCTCTTCTTGCTAGCACCACAAAAGCTAGGCACTGTGTGATGTGAGCTGACCCGAAGCCCAGAGCTGCTAAATCCAACACGTAGGGAAGGAACATTGCTGGCCCGAAGTCCGAGTGCAGCGGAGGAAACCCTTCGTCTTCCTCCTCTGCAACTGGCAGCTCCTCCATTTCGCCTATGGGAATGGCACGTAGGTGAAGCCTGCACCAGCCAGCTACACCTCTGTCTCAACCTTCGATGGAAAGCTGTGGCACAAAGTATCTGACCCTTCCAGGGATCCAACTGCTGAGAAAAGCTCACGGCTGGATCGATAGACCCGTGGCGATGAGATGCTTGCGCCTCTGACCACTGCGTAGTACAGGGCCTGCTCTGACTGCTGCTGCCCAATTGCCGGCCTTCCAAGCACGATGAACCCTCTGCTCCGGAGTCCAACCTCCTGTAGTCTTGGATAAGGATGCGGCCAACTGCTGAAGATGATGAGGGCAAGGAGCAAAAGAGGCCTCGATCGAAGCGCGGGTCTCTCTCCTTGGAGGGGTGGAGATCGGCTCAACCTCTTGCCAAGAAGCAATGCTTGGAGCACTAGAAGCAGCAGGTGCACGATGACCCTCAAGATCTCCTCCAGCGGTAGGAGTGTCAGGTGTCCCCCTTGTAGTATCCTGGGCAAGTCGATGCACGATGCACGAAGGATGCCGCTCTGTCAGCGTTGCCCCGCACGGTGATTTGCAGCCCTTGGAATTCCAGAGATAGGTTAAGTTCCTCGTCTTTCTCCTCTGGATGGGGACGAGCGATTGCTCATTCAAGTAGGCCCTGACACGATCCGGAGTAGGTGCCGTCCCAGCAGGCGGCGAGGAGGTCAGTCAGGCAGGCCGATGAGGAAGGAAACCAGGCCCCCAAATGCCGAGGACCAAGGCGTTCAGGATCCCGAAGCAAAGGCCGAGCAAGAAGGCCAGGAGGAGCGTGGGTGCTCCGGAGGAAAAGCAATGGGCAGGACAACCAATGCCCCACCAGTTAGACTGAGCGCCGGAGATCAAAATCCCTAGGAATTTGGGGACCCAGTCCATGAAGCTTGAGCGTCGCGAAAAACACACATCGACCTTAAAAAGGACAGTTCAGTTCTCACCAATATAGGGAGAATTGTGGGAAAACACTGGACTTCGACTTTGATACGGCGATGCTTGCAGATGCTATTAAAAAAAGAAAGTGCCATTAGCATTTATCTCATCCTCAACGAAGTTCACGCGAGCCAATTGCTCGATACATAGTGGCGCTTCCTGTCACATGTTGGCCCTAAGGAGGCCTGGTCTGACATAGAAGCCTCACGGTCATACAGGCGTTCAGAATATGATACTAACCAAACGCAATCTTGGCGCAATTTCTTTTTGAATGGGTTAGGTCCACAGGTTCTTAAGAGGGCAAAACGCCATGCTGTCACCTCAAAGCGATCTACTCCAATCCAGAAGCTGCAGTGTGTTGCGAGGTTGCGCGCTCAAGACTTGGCTAGAACGCCAGCTAGCAGCCACGGTAGTCGTTAGACATGTGACATGTCCGTGACTGATTGCAATGGCCCTACAGGGAAGATTCAACACATGGCATCATTCTGGACAGGTTCAATCCAGACTGATACATCACATCAGGCCCACTGCTACGTACAACTGCCAACACCTCGGTGCCGCAGGTTGCTGATTCAAACGAGCAAGTTTGAAATAGGTCCCGCCAAGGGCAATGTTGCGGAAGGCTTCATCATTAAGCTTGCGGTAGATTGAATTCGTCTTTGCAAGCTCGCTTCCTCAGACAAAGCACCGGCCACTCTCACGCACAAACCAAGACAAGGTATTGTCCGATCCTAGTGAACAACTGAGCACCTGACTGTACCCCGCCTCTGTCTTGGACGCAGCTGCTACATGATCAGAACCACTCAAAAAGCGGGTCGGATAATTGTTGATCAGGGCGATGTATGGCTGCTCTTCTGCATCATCATGATAAATGTTGTCATAAAGTACGTCCCATGATAGGTCTATGAAGAGGTTCGGGTACTTCTCCAATCTGTCCTGGATCACCTTCACATGATTCTGTATGGTGACAGGTAACTGAAGGAGCGCAAGCTTGGGGTTAAGCTGCTTTGAGAGCCCAGCCATGTGTACCCAAATTATCTTGTTGTCTGGATATGTCTCCAGAACTTTGTCCATCAAAGGTAAGAACTGCCGCCCATTCTTCTCGTTTCCCAAGTCCATGTGGATCGCCATGGGGATATCTTGTCTCCGAAGCTCAGCCATAAACTCCGCCCATCGAAGGATTGACTCAATTGGCACCGGTTTGCCTTGAGAATTGTTCCACAAGGCCTGCTTCACCAAGTTGATTTCACCCACCCACGTGAACATTCCTGGAAACTCTCTCTGTAAAAGCGCCATATTGGGCAGAATTGTCTCAGGCTTCTGCAAATCAAAGAAAGACATGGACAGAGTGACTACCGGGCCTGCTTCAAGAAGCTCAGAGCTGTCCAAAACGGTCTGAGCATTGAAGAAGTCATTCTTCAAGCTTGGTTTGACTGGCGTGCCAGGACAGTCCAGGTAATACGTGCAGTTGGAGTCGATGGGCAAGCGCTGCCCAATCCCGTACAGTGTGGTGAAGAGGATCCCAGCCCGCCGCAGCCTGTCCATGAGTTCATGGAACGGCACGGGCGGCCCTCCAAAGGGGCGTGCATGCAAGTGAGCATCGACTACAGCCCACTGATCACTTGTGTTGCGGTCAAAGCATGTAGAAGAGCCCTGCTTGAAGTCATCCACCGTGAGAGACGTTTGAAGGACGGAGAGGTCAGGAAATCTTGAGCTGCCTGCCCTGCCTGCCTTAGAAATGCACAGTGCAAAACAATTATATGATAAAGCGGATGCATGTCGATGCAAATATCAGATCAATCAAAGCACCTTCTGGAGCTGGGAGCTCTTATTTGCTGGCCTTGCCTGCACCGATTTTGGCTCACACCTCACCTCTACCGACTCTACCAAATATCGACCCGATTTCAGTCCATACTGACCACCAACCGTGCATTTCATAGCACAAGCAAAACAAGCGGCCAACTCATCTCCCGGCCTGCGACATTGTTATGAGACTCTGCGGCTTTCGAGGTCGCAAAGCCTCCTGACCACTTCCAAGGACATCACACCTCTGTAGACGTTATCTCTCTCTCTCTTCCATTGTTTCCCACCAAACACGGAGGCATACACTCTCTACACCACTCACGCCAGGCCCACGCAGTCCTTTCCCACCAAACTTGGAGCACAAATGGCTGGAGCTGTGAAATTGAGGCCTGCACCGCCCAGTATCGAACCTCTTGCACAACAGCCAACTCAGCACGGTCCTCGCCCCGCCTATCAAATCAAAATAGTTCTGGCCAAGGGCAATATTCCGGAATGCAGTGTCACTCAAATCCCGGTAGATTGCACTTGTCTTGTTTACTTCATTTCCTTAGTTGCACAGTTTCCGGCCTAGAATGTCGTAGCACTCTTACGCAACAGGCTGAGTCTTTTGTGCAGAACAAGCTGAGTCTTGTTGCTAAGCTGGGCGCTGTAAGTCTCTTCGATCTTGTCTGCCGAGGCCACGTGATCAGAGCCACTGAGAAATCGAGATGGATACTTATTGATCAAATTCACATAGGGCCTCTCCTCTGACTTGGATGAGTAGAGCTCATCATACAGAATGTCCCAAGAGAGGTCAATGCTCAGCTTCGGGTGCTTGTTCAGCCTTTCCTCAATCATGCTGACATGATCCTCGATGGTCACTGGTCTTTGGAGCAGGGCCAGGGATGATGCCAGCTGGGGGTTGAGCTGTTTGGAGAGCCCTGCCATGTGCACCCAAATAATCTTGTTGTCTGGATATGTCTCCAGAACTTTGTCCATGAGCGGGAGGAACTGCTCCCCGTTCTTCTCGTTTCCAAGATCAGAATGTAAGGCCAGCGGCAGGCCTTGTCTGCGGAATTCATCCATAAATGGTTTCCAGTCCTTTATGGACTCTTGTCGGACGGGAAGGCCCTGGGAATTCGGCCAAAGTGCTTGCTTCACCAAATTGATCTCACCAACCCACTTGAACATTCCAGGAAATTCACTCTGCATAAGCTTGATCTTTTCCAAGTTCGCAGTTGGCTCGTGCAAATCGACGAAGGACATCGACAAGGTAATGTGTGGCCCAACCGGGTCAGCCAGGTCAGCGGCATTGTCCAGAACACTCTGCGCATTGAAAAAGTCGTTTTTTAAGCTTGGAGTGATCTTCGTGCCCGGACAATCCAAGTAGTACGTGCATGTTGAATTGATCGGCAGCCTCTGACCGATGCCATACAATGTCGCAAAGAGAATTCCAGCTCTTCGCATCCTCCCTATCAAGTCAGTGAAGGCAACTGGTGGACCACCAAACGGTCTTGGGTGCAAATGGGCATCAACGACCGCCCAGTTGTCGCTGCTTGCTCTGTCGTAACATGCGTTCTGCTTTTGGAAGTCTTCAAGGGTCAGAGGCGCCGCCTGTAGCAACCCAAAGAACATGCAGCTGCTGAAGCAAAAACGAATGCAAAGTCTCAGTTAGATTTGACGGCGTAGTGTCTTCATGAAATCAACTGCTCAAACGTGAAGCGTTGTGATTCTACGTCTCCTTTCCTTTCCGCAAGAAATTATGTGCCTCATTCACCCCAGCTTCAAAGGACTGCCTTGGTCCGTGAGCTCTCTCGGAAGTGGTGTTGCAAACCCCAGTGGATGGTGCATCTGTATCACAGTGTAATTGATGCCATGGGGAGAAAAAGGAAACTCTACCTTGCCCTCGTGTTCCGGGAAGAAACCCAATCCTTGCATTCAGGTCTATGGTGCACGTAGGGCCTTCCATTCTTCAGCAACACTGTGTCATAGGTGTGGTTCATCCCACAAACTGTCCACAAAGCAACTCTAGTTTCAGTGCACACGAACGCATCTTGATGATTCAGCCAGGGAGAACGCGAAGAAAGCACAACGGAAGTGACAGACATCCTGGCTATTTATCAAATTATATAGGATGTTGTTTTGATGCAAATATGCCATCACATCCCCTAGAGGAAACAAAAGCTCATGGAGCAACAAATAGGTACTGTACAAGAGTGTGAACCATAGATCTGCATGTGCTGGAAATGGCACCATCGCATGTTCAGCTCGTCTTCGCGTGATTGCTTTTGGCTAGTACATTTGGAATTGAATATATGCAATGCCTGGAAAAAGTGATGAAAACAAGACAAAACTGCAGCCAATGTTCTGCTGTCTTTGCAGCTGCAATAGTTGTGGGCTGTCATCTTCACAGCCCTGCAGTCATTGCAGAGCGATCGCAGAAAAGTTTAAGGATATGATATGCACAACAGATTCTAACAAATTCTATGCAACATCTATATAATTATATACTTTGAACTGCTTCAGCAGGAGATCAGCAACGAAAGCTCAACAACACAGCACAATGAGTGCTACAAACTGAGTGGACCTCACATGATTTGCAATGTTACACTGTGAGCCAGCAACGAACACAAACAGTTCCATCCTCTGATGTGGAACACGTAGCGCCTGCCAGAAAAGCACATCACGGAACAGGTTGCTTTGGCACATGCAAATCTACCCTCTGAATATGCCGTATGCTGTATGCTTCTGCCTGTGACAACGGAGAGCAGAAAGGCAAAAACTAAGCGTCTGTGGCTTCCCTGCATGGTCCTCAGTGCTTGTGACTGATTCCTTGCGCAAGGCGCAAAAACGAAGCGCCACCAAAGCACAGGAGCAAAACAGACAGAGGCTCAACAAGCCCCAGACGCTGCATTGCCACGAGGGTATCAAAAGTGAAAAGCGGTTCAGATCTTGGGGCCAAGTGGTTTGAGCCGAAACAAATAGCAAAGGAAGCTTCTAGTAGGGAGGAGGGGGAGCGGGCAAACAAAAAAGACAATGCTTTTTTGGGGTTACTACAGGTGAAACGATTCCCAAGGAAGCTTCTAGATTCTAATGATTCTAGTTATACACTGAGAAACTGAGAACTGCCAGACTGCGACTTTTGCAAAGCTGTGATCTCTTGATTCCGACTGGCCGAACTGCAGGCCCCTTGGGCCTCGCGCTCGGCCACCCCATTTTGTGTCATCGCCGTGTCGAGTCAGAGCCCCGCATTGCTTGATGCAGCAAATCAAAGAGCAAACGACCTGGAAGTTGAGTCGTCATGTTGAATGTACCTATATGTACAATTTAGTCATCTAGCCCCTGGATATCCTAGGTCCTAGCTGCTATTACAAGTGGTGACTTATTATATATAGTCGCCATAGTCATGTGATTTGCTTGTCTTTCTCGTCACTTTCTTCAACTTTGCACATTGGAAATGCTTTGCCTCCCCAGCTTTCCCAGCCTCGGCTTTCTGACCCACACAGCTGGACGCAATGCCCCTCGCTGAGGCGCACCAGCATTTGACCAGTGAATTCTGCAGGCAGGGTGGAGCACACGTCCTTGGTGCACAGCTGGGCGAATCGGATGCATGATCCTCTTACGATCTCATCTTGAAGAGAAACATGAAGAAACTGGAACAGAATTATTGGATCGGATTGTCGGAATTCTTGGACTTTGATCAAGCGACGGCAAAAAGACCATCTTCCAGCTGCCTGAGCCAAGCTTGAACTTGTTGCGGTGACCACTGGCGAGGATGCGGATCTCGCTGCTTGGTGATATTTGGCAGCACTTCCTTTTCCACATCTTGTTCAGGTGCCTTGACTCGCAAGGTCATTCCGGTTCGAAGGGTCGAAAGAGTATGCTCCGTATCAGATGCAGCCGGTGCAACGGTGCAAATGACTGAGAGCCTGGTGTCTGCAGAAGACAGGGACGTGGCCAGTAGCTTGGTGAGCGCCGATGCCCGAAAGGCATGCGAAGGAATTCGATGGCCCTTAGACATGAAACGAATGCACTCCTTGAGGGCATGCAGTGATGCATTGATCTCAGCCCCTTCTTGCTGCCTCTCTCGGGTATGATTCGCTGAATCCTTTCTCCGCTCTGTACCAGCACAATCCACTAATGTCAAAGAACCACCGCACCCACCGCTGCGCCCGGTCGCAAAGCTTTGAGAGCAAGATCTGCCCAGACGCAGAGTGCAAATTGCATGACTGCGGGAGCTCTCATCATTGGCCTCCGTCGCGCTCGTGGCTCTCCGATGTCGCGCCGCTTGGAATATGGCCAGCAATGCCTCGGGGCTTTCGACCTGTAGCTCATGCGCTCCATCTGGGACAAAGGCTGAGCTCTCCTCTTTCCTGTCACCCTTTTTTTGCTCCCGCAGCCGCACCTCTGGGAGGTGCGGCAGCAGCAGGTCAAAGCAGCGTGAACCTCGAAGCTCTACAAATGTCAAGGACATTTGACATCCACTTTGGAACAGGTCTTTTGCGCAAAGGTGTTCGATCGCCTTCATCGTGTGAGTCTTCCCACTGCCAGTCTGCCCAAACATCAAGATGGTGTTCGCACGGCCTTCCTTCGTGGATTCAACCAAGTTTGATGCCGAGGCCCTGTACACTTCCTCGTCACTGACTTCGTCGCCAAAAACATGATCAAAGGCAAAACGCACATGGTGAACGACTGGCGTGCGAAGATCTGCTTGGAAAAGGCAATTATGCAGAACCATCTGCGTAGGTGGACTACCTGAGAGAATCGAGACAACGTCAAAATCGTTTCGCTTCGCCTCCTCATGTGGGAAAAGGGGCCGCTTGCGGACATAGACCTGGACAGGCCGGCATCCTGAATGAAATTTGTCACCTGGAGAGGCAGTGGGAATGCCTGCAAGCGCTTCAACAATCTTTGCCTGATACTTCTCGATTGCATTCAGGAAGGGCGCCCGATTAGCAGCTCGCAGCTCATTCTTGCTGAACATTTGCCTCCGAAACTCGGACGTTTCGCTTCGCCGCCTTCGTTTCAGCCCAACAGGCTGCATTAACTGAGCAAGCAGGACGGCAACCCGTAGGTAGTAGGGACCCTATGGGTGTTAATTTTGAGCGTCGTTCCACATCTATAGAGAACTTTTTCTCATGGGCTCCTCTTTCGCATGTTCCTTCGCAGGACTTTCACGGCTTGCGTTTTGGCTTTCGTGCACGGCATTCAGTTCAAAAAAACACTTTCGCAAGCTTGCTGATTCTGGGGGGGTCCAAAGAGGGAGGCATCATACATTATATAACCGTTAACCTCTCTTCAAGTTGTTGCTTATGGGGCCAGCAACACCCCAAGCTCCACCATCTAGATGACCCCTACATGAAACATCATCAAACCAGCTACATACTGCCCAAAGAAGGGGAGATTGGTGAATTGCAGTGATGCCGCCTGCCTGCTGGCTGCTCCCAGCGACGCTGCACGAGGGCCGCTAGAAGTGCGGTTCATGCATGGCCTTTCAGACATGCTCCGCGGCTCCCGTCGTGGTGGGCTCCGTACCCTGCGAGCAGGACAACAAAAAGAAACTGAATCCCCGCAAACCTTGCAGTGTGACCTATGCATCACATTGCAGGCCACCTGGGCTGAGCTTCAGTTGCGTCTCGACTTCTCTGGGCCTTCCGCACCTCCTGACACGCTATTGCAAGATTTCTACATTGCGGAGCCGTCTTCTATGATTCTTCTCGGATCTTCATGAGTCTTCGTGCAGCTCTTTCGCTGCATTACATTACAGCTTCAAAGGTGCCGAATTCCTGTCCTCTCGAGCCTCCAATCGCTGACGCAAAGCAGCTGGAAGCTGTGCACTCGGAGTGGGGGCGTCCACATTCGGTTGAGGCCCTGCTCCGAAGGAATCTTGCCTCCAAGCATTCTTTTCGCGATTTGAACCCATACGCACCAATGGACGTGAGGCAAAATATTGATTGCAGTGCGATCCGTCAAAGGTTGTGGAACAGCAGCTAGGAAAGGTGATATGATGTGTTTTTTTGGCGGCCCATGCCAAATGCCTGTGAACGTGGCTCACCCATTAGTAATTAGGTGCCAGGTGGCACTGGATCTCACTTGTGAATGGAACATAATGGAACAGGCTACGAGGCCGGCACTAGAGCTTCATATTAAGAGCATTAGTGCTGTGCGGTGGTCTCTGGCAAGTCCTTTCTCTTTCTTGTTCTCTCGCCTATCCTATCTTCTCCCTCCCTTCTTTCTATTTGCCTATAATAGCCTATAACCTGTCAATGTGAAGCTGTTCCCTGCTGCTCCAGGTTCTTGTGTTTCTATTGCGCAAGGCAAAAATGGCAAAACCCTCTAGCTCTAGCTCACGATGCAGTGCTACTCAACTGATGATAATATCATCATGAACGTGAAATACAGTAATTATAATAGCCGAACATGCACCCATGCCGTACCGCTGAAGCTGACACGCAACCAAAGCATCAATAACAAATAAGAATACAATTCTGCAGCTGCATGTCAAATTAAGTTGTCATGCAGCACACCAACTCAGAACGAAACGTGAATGAATCTCCTCTGAAATTTCAAAGGCCTTACCTCTTCATGAGCAAGGGTGTAGTTTCATCTTGATGCAATACTCTTGGCACTTCCGGGTTTTGAAGTTCTGGAAGTTCAGGAAGCAAAGTCACATCGAAATCAAGGGATGAATCGCTGAGATCCTCTGCTCTCAACGCCTCGGGCGACTCTTGCTCCAGCTGCGCTGAGCAAGGTTGGACCGCTGAGACTGCCTGCGGACACTCAGTCCATGGGTTTGAAATAGCGCCTTGGCCGGAGGACGTTTTTGCGTCAGTCGGACCGTGGTCTGACGTGACGCGGACGCTGGGCGTCTGTTTGTACAAGGGCGGTCTGGTGAAATGAGGTCCGCCGGCCCGTGCTTTTGATCCCAAAGTGACAACAGAGTCACCCGGACTCAGCTGTTCAGCACCGAAGCGCTTGTCGTAAGGTGGCGGAGCTCCGGACGTCCTTGCTGCGCTTGGATCTTTCTCCTCGGGCCGATGAGCTCCTCGGTGGTCATCCACAACATCAGTTAATCTCTCCAGTGGCGGTTCCTCCACTGCCTTCTGCATCTCTGTCCTGAGTAGCATGCTCGACCGTCGACAATCACCTCTTTGGGTTTGCGGCCCTTGGTTTTGGCCAAGCATCATTTGCCGTAGGACCCCTGCTGTGCAGCCCTGAAGCTGTAACAAGCTGCTGGAGGCAGACCATTCGCTCACAAACGTCCACAGTAGAGTTCCACTGTTCAGTCTGGCAGCTGGCCCATGTTTTGCACTGTGTTTTGCACTCCAAGTGCAGCTGAGGCACATTGCGCCCAGGAAGGTCATGTCTGTCCACATTGCAAGGATGCCTGGACCTCAGATGTTGCCAAGTGCAGCTCATCAGGGTCAGGTGAACTAGCTAAATAAAACCCATGCCTTTGTAGCCAGGTAGCTCCTTCAGAGTTGGCGACACGTCTTGCAGAAGTGGAGCGGCTTCACTGCGTTCATTTGATCTCAAAGGTGAATGGGAAGGAGAACCTTGGCTGGAAAGAAGCTACTAGGAGCAAAGGGTGAGCTACTAGGAGCAAGGACGCTACTAGG